AGGAGGTTAGGTGGATTTTTAATATACTCTTTTCCCCAATTTCTTAAAGATTGGCAAAGAAAAAAAGAGCTATAGACACCACAAAATGCAGATTATTAATTAGATAAAAATACAAGCTGAGTGTTGTGGCTCACACCGGTAATCCCAGTCCTTTGGGAGGCTGAGGTGGGCGGATCACTTGAGGTCAGGTGTTCAAGACCGGTCTGGCCAATATGGTGAAACCCTGTCTCTACTAAAAATACAAAAATCAGCCAGTCTACTAAAAAATTACAGTCGTGGTGGTGCGCGCCTGTAATTCCAGCTACTCAGGAGGCTGAGGCAGGAGAATCGCTTGAAGCAGGGAGGCAGAGGTTGCAGTGAGCCAAGATTGCGCCACTGCCCTCCTGCCTGGGCGTTGCAGCCAGACTCCATCTCAAAAAAAAAAAAAAAAAAAAAAAGGTACAAAAGTATTTTCAGGTCATTTTATTATTTCAGAGGCTGATCGAAGTCTGCTAAGTTTTTGTCTCATATTGGCAAGATGTGAACCTGACTTTTCACATGCTATTTTACTGACAGTCTATTTTAAAATTTAAAATAAATTGTTATTACTCTTGATTTCAAGGTCATGAAGTTTACTCATTTCTTTGTATTGCATGGAACAAAATTAATTTTTTAAATATTTTATACAGCGTCAACTTTCAGATCCCTTCAAAATGCAAGAAAATAAAGATTCCCCACAACAATAAAATGAAAATTTACCTTCAGCCTATTTGCCACTGGACTTACTACAAGTCCAAGATCAACCAAACAGGTTGAATCACTTTAAAATCTCAATGGCCTCATATTTCAAAAGATCGTCTTTTTGTAAGTGACGTCATTCTGGAACATTAAAATGTCTTACAAATGTACATTTCAGAACTTAATTCATTCAAATGAATAGTATTCCCTTCAGAGCAATTATCTTAAAATGGAAAGTCCTCTTTCCAGTAATAATTTCATTGCTTAAAATATTTTGAGAACTGTCTATATTCCTCTCAGGAACTCATAAAAAGAAAACTGGCCTGTTTTTAGTCCTATTTTCTTTTTTTGACTCTAAGTCGCGTAAACCATCTTTCTCATCTACTTATTATCTAGACCTGGCAATAATTTTTTGTGGTGTTGTTTCCGATGATCAGAGATCAAAAAATCTGTTGCCATCAAAGATATTTGGAAGATTGTGCTACAGAATTTGAGGACAATCTCAAAAAGGGAATTTCAAAAGTATGGTTCAAGCCATGTCAACAAAATTTAGAATGCTGCACTCAGCTTCGCAAGGTCAGGGCTCCTGGAGGAACATCACTCACTTTCCTTCTTGTCCTGCCTTTTGTGGCTGATCCCCTGTCAATGGTTGGCTCCTGACATTGGGCAAGCTGCTTGTTTCCTCATCTATAAAATGATGCCAAAGGACTAGATGCCCGCAGAGGATCTTTCCAGTTCTAAAATTCTAGAACAATGATGCATGTTTCTCTACGTGACAGTTGGTTGTTTTTTTTTTTGTTTGTTTTGTTTGTTTTTAATTAAAAGTCACATTAGGCCACACCATTAATGTATTCAGTCATCATATCAGTGATTGGGGATATTTCTTTCATAGTCTCTTTTCTTCTCACATTCTCCTGTATTAACATTTAGTGCCATTTAGGGGCAAGAACAAAGTTTTTATTCCATTGGATTTAGGGACTGTGGACATTTAAAAATTTTCATTGCAGATCAGAGACTGTATCAACCTTGTGTGGGGGAGAGAAAAAGAATGTGCAAAGATACTCATGTAACATAAACTTGCTACATTAAAAAAAAAAAAATCTGCCAACACCCCTGGTTCTCATTCTGATGTCAATCTTTTGTGTATTATGGCACTAATCTGATTGATTCTACTTATTTTTTAAAAGCTTGGCCCTTCCCTTTTCTGTTGGTATTGCAGCAGTTGCTTACCTTAAAGGAAAAATTATGGTCAAAAAATACTTCCTGTGAAATGCTGCCAGTTGCAGGTATTTGCAGAACATGTCTGGTTCTATTTAGGGTGTTTTCTTTCTTTTTTTAGTATCCTTGGCCATATAACCTGATCTTTTTCATAAGAAATGTCAGCAAAGTCTTTGAATTAATGAACTGTGAAGTGCTCAAAACATACCATTTCAAAAAGTATCCTACAAGGATATAACACTAATGGGAGGTGAGCCTTGAGTTTATATCCGAATATCCCACCCTAACTAAAAAGAACTAAGATAACGACTGGCCCAGGCACAATCTCCTTGAACAAAGACCCAGAGAGGAAGAAGTGATGAGGAGTGGGGGAGGTCAGAACCAGAGTAGTAATCTGGAGAAATGTGTTTATGTTAGCTTTTCTAGCTCTGTTGAGCACTTCCATCAAATAATGGAATTATACCAACCCTCCTATAAAAGATACCAGGTGGAGGCAAGCAAAGAGAAGGGAGGAGGTGAGGTGTGTTCAGAAGGTTGATCAAATAAATCTGAATGGTAGGTCCTTGGCTACGCCTAATGTGGGTTTTGTTTTAATTTTGCCATTAAAAAAAATGCGGTGTCACTCCTTCAATCTTTTTACAATTCTGCATGGTTGAACATTTGAAATGAGTTTGTGTATCACCCTCAGGCGCTGATTCAGACTTGATTGGGGCAAAGCAGACTGCATGTGCTTATTTTTATCCACGTCATTTGGGACGTTATGTCGCCAAAGGAACCAAAAATGTGCTGATCTATTGCCAAATCATCACCTATCCTTTGATCAGACAGGACGAAGATCCTCATCAACAAGTTGTGCGACCTTAGTGTAACAGCAATGTCAGGTCAACTTGAGAAAGTGAAGAGAGAGCCCTAGACACAAATAAAAAGAAACAACCAACAATCCTTATAATTATCATCATCTGCTGCTTTTCCCTCTTTTGGCAAAGAAACACTCCATCCATTTGCAGAAATCGCCCGCGGAAACGTTACATCAAAACTAATCACAACGATTAAAATCAGCTTTTCTGTGCAAGAGGCGGGTGAAAAGCAAGTTGGAGGCTAGAATGAGACTGTTTTTCCACCAAAAAAAAAAAAAATCCGGAAAAAAATTTCCTATATGTATATTTCTCTATACGTATATGTAGAGCTTTATTTTTGAAGGAGATCAATTGTCTGCCCTGTGATCAGTTAATTTTAAGTTTTATTTTGGAGATTGATTTAGACTAGAGGTAGAGGCATGAGCTAATTGTATCCTGATCCTTGCCTTGAGGGGTTTCAAAGCCCTGGAGCAACTCTTCTCTGTATTTTGTTCTGTCTACCTTAGCCAAGCTATTGCATTTCTCTCTGGTGTGGCGAGCCGAGCAGATCGCTGGGAGAGAAATCGGAAAAGGGGGGAGAGGAAAAGGAAAAGGGGACTTGGAGAGAGACTTTGTGCTTCAATGTTTCAGGTAAGATCTGACGGTTTGGGTTTGTTATTATTTGCTAAGGAGGGTATGGCTGGGACTTTGGGCGCAACTCGCTTTTACGCATGTGCCAGGCATGGGGCGAGAGCGCGGCACACTCGCACACACGCCGCCCGCCGTGGCGGGCGGCTCGGGATCCGTTCGGACCCGCGGCGGGGCAGTGGCCGCCGCCTCCTCCGGGGCTGCCGCTGCCGGTTCTCGGCTTTCTTCCTTCAGTGGGAGCCGGCGCGAGCGGGGCGGAGCGGGCAGGAGGAGCGGGTGCGGCCGGCCGGGGCCGCTACCGGGGGCCGGGAGCCCGCGCGCCAGGGCCGGGTTTCCGGATCTCTGGGTCGGGTTCCGGATCTTGGAGAGGAGCCGCCGCGGCTGTGGGAGCCCGTGCCAGCGCCGCCCGCCCGCCGCTCCGCGCGCCAGCCTCCCCCGCAACCGCTCCGCCGCGGCTCTCCCCCGCCCTCCCCGAGTCCCTCCCTCCTCCCCCGAGCCCCGCGCGTCCCTTTCTTCCCCGGCGCAGAGCTCCGCGCCCGCAAAGCGGCCCCGCCGAGGGCGCCCGGCGCCGCGGGGGCGCCCCGAGCCGAGCGCACATCCCTGCGGGGCGCGCGGGGGGCGGTGGTGCCCGGGGCTGCGCGCCTGCCGGGGTAAGGGGCCCGCCGCCTCCTTCTCGCAGGCAGCTCGGCGGTGCCCCCGGACGCCCCGTGAAAGACGCCATTGTGGCTGCGGAGCGGATTGGGGCCCGGGGCGGTTTTTCCTTCCCCTTTTTGCCCGGGCCGGACCGCGCCGCTCCCCTTTGTGAGCCACGGCCGGCGCCCGGCGCTGTTCGTCTCCGGCCGGGCTGATCCAGATTCGCCGCCTCCGCCCACCCGGGCGCCTTTAAAGCCCCCTCCCACTCCCTCCCATCTCCAGCCCCCCTCCCTCTTTTGGATGCAAACGTTTCATTTATTTTTCAAAAGCTCTCATTCCTCTTCCTCCCCACCTCCTCCCCGGATAGAGGGCACGGCACATGCTCGGGATTAGAAGTCTCCTTGGGAGGCGGGGACGGGGTGGGGGCGGCGCTGGGACGGCGGCAGGATGCGAGCGCCGCAGGTAATGGCTGTGGCTTTGCTGCGCTCGCCTCTTCTCCGCGAGGCCGGGAGCGCGGAGGCCGGAGGCCGCATCCTTCCCTCCTCTGCTGGCGGCCTAGGTTCCCTTAAAGGGACCGAGTTTCCCGGCCGCCTCTGGTCTTCGCCGTCTGAACCAGCGCTCGGGGCGCAGAGGTGGACGGGAGGGATGCATTTTGGATCCTTTCTGACCTCTTTCCTCCTCCGCTCCCCCCAACTCCCGCCGCACCCCACCACTTTCGCCGCCCCCACCACCCACGCACTCCCGCCGCCCCTCTTTATTGAAATGTGAAGTGTGCTTCCTCTCCTGCCCCCAAGAGGGACCTGGCTGGAAAACAGAGTCCGCGCCTCCCGGAAAAAGAAGCGGGCGGGGTGGCTGGGGGGCGTCACGGCGAATTCGCGTTTAAAGTGATGTCGAGCCCCAAAACATCCAGGAAGAGGACAGCAGACCTGTGGTGCAGGAATCCCTTACCTGCACGCACGCTCCGCGCAGCCGCGCCGCCACCGCAACTTGCGAACTGTCGCGGGTAGACAGTGTCTGCCTTTGTACTTTCGAACACTTGCACTGTCGTGGAAATGATTTTCTGTTATCAAAACGTTTTCACAGTGACTGTGCTTCGGGGGCCTGCTGGGCGGAAGCCAACTAAGTTAGCAAAGTTGCAGATGGGGCCGTTGGCTTTGTACGTGGAGAACGGCACGCGAGAACTGTCCGGGATCCCGGTGGCACTGGCTGCTTCGTTAAAAAGTGCACCGCAGTAGGCAGGAGTAATTTGGTACAAAAGCATTACCTTTTAGATCATATAACTGGCTGATTTCAAGCAAATCCTTGACTATGCTCTGTGTGTGCGTGTGTCTGTGTGTGTGTGTGTGTGTGTGTGTGTGTGTGTGTATCCAGGGTGGTACTGGGAGACATAACAGTTTAACATATTCTTTAAGAAACGTTTGCCTTCTGTTTTCAATCAACTAAGCTGGCAGCTAGAGATACAAGTTTATTTGAGAATACCCTCTGGGTACCAAGCATGCTTGGATTGTTTTAGCAAATTAAAAATGAGCAAAATGCTTTTACCTTCTCAGCAGTAGACTCCTTAAGAGACCTCCTGTTTTGTGTGTATGTGTGCGTTTTTTTAGAGAAACATTTTCTGTGTGTATCTCAAATGTGTTTTTAATGTGGAAAAGGAGAAAATAAAGGATTTTAAAAGGCGGAGGCTGATGCCGGAGAATGATTCATTAAATCTGATTCTACATCAAGGAATTCACCTACATTTATGGGAATCTGTGGCAACTAATAGCCTACTTGGTGAATTTAAAATAGCAGTGGATCCATGTGTCTCCTGGATTATGGGCAGTGTGCCGATTTATTCCTCGTGTTTGTATTTGTGTGGCATTTGGCTTACTATGAGGGGCTGATGTTCAGGAAACTACATACTGACTGCAACAATTTGACTCAGGAGTCCCGCTGCTGCCTAAATGGAAGGAATTGTGAGCGGTTGTTAGGATGACAGTAGGTTAAATGTTTACTAATTAGGTTGCAAAGGTGACCAGGAAACTTTAAAACTTTACATCAATGAGAAAACTTCATTGGGTTAGGCTTATGTTCCTAAGAAGATCGTTAACTAATGAGGCAAAAATGTCACACATTAGCCGGGAAGAAATTTTGAAATGAATTGAGTGTGAAAGATATTTGGCAAAAATCTCCCACCACCGTATGCAAAATGACTGCAGTGATTTTGCTGTATTAATTATGCCTGGAGCACAATATAAAGTTCTCCAACACACACTAGAGGTCTCTCTTCTAGCTATAAGATTTTTGTGTTTGTAATTCTTTGCTGGGGCTTGCATAGTAGGGGTGCACAGTAATAGCTTGGTTCATACTTAAGTAATAATGATTTACTGACCATTCAGCTTACTCTGATGTGAGATATTTAGTTTTGGGGGTAGGCTTCAGTGATCATTGGACAAATTATACCACTTAAGTACTAGGAAAGTAACTTCAGTAAGACTTCAACTAGATGATGATGAAAGCTACTATTCGATTTGCGTTGAATAATGCATTATGGACCTTTTGGCATCAAATTATTTATCCAAAGCAATTTGTTTTTAAATGTAAGAGTAATTAGTAACAGATGTATTTTATCCGAGAACGTGCTTAAATTAAACCTCCATTTAGCTCTGTGTTTAGCAGTAACAATTGCTTGCACAAATGCTTTCTTGCCTTAATGTTTCTGAATCAGAATGATAGTTTTCTGCTTTTGATGTGATGCCTTTACTAAGAGCTTTTCCCATTTGCTTTGCTTTTGAGTCGTTCAAATGATTTGTGAACCATCAGTTCACCAACGCTTTTATTCCGTTGTTTATTAAACTGCATTTCTGAACCTTCTTTTGTATTGCAGTTTATAATTTCCCAAGCAAACAGAGTGTTTATTTGCTCCATCTTTAGAATGAACTATCTTGGGAATAAAAATGAAATTTTTGGATGCAAGCATATATGCTTATTTTAATAGCTTACTCATGCAGAAGTGAGACACAACTCGCTCTGGCTTTTCATTCATAAAAACGTGCTAGATGTAAATAATGTTTTGCTTGTTGATGAGTTTGGTTTGAGATAACTGCAGAAAACAAAACAGAGAGATTATCCTTTAAGAATAACAAGGCTGTGTTCATTAGGTCCATTCATTCATTGAACAAATATTTATGCCTGCTGTGTAAAAACTTCTATGTTAAATGCTGGAGACACAATGGTGAGAAAAAGCATTCAGAGCCTCCAACCTCCTAGAGCTTACAGCCCAGACAGAGAGGCAGACATTCATTGAATAATTGGACAACCGACAGAGATGAGTGCTTTGAAGGAAAAGGAATATGGGTTCCCCTAGCACTGACTTAAAGAGGGGGCAAAATGGCCCGGACCAGGGTTGGAAGTGCCACAAACTGAGATCTAAAGGATGAAGGGGACTGGGCAAGGAAGAGAGAGAGAACAGAGACCAACTTCCAGGGAAAGAGAAGAAGGGACAGCATTTTACCAAGCCAGGAGAGGCTTAGCAAAGGGGGAGGAACTTAAGGCTTACCTGGCTGGAGTTGAGAGACGGAGAAGGCACTGATGGGAGACCAGAATGCAGGGACAGGCGCCTGGTCTTCACCCTACAAGCAGTGTGATGGAGAGGATCGGGAGAGGAGGAGTAGTGACATAATCAGACTGGTGTTTGGATAACTCTGCTGACACTCTGAGAAGTGGTTAGACAGACCCAGGTGGATGCAGTGTAGCCCTTGGAGGGCTATTACAGTTATCCAGTCAGGAGAAGATCTAGCTGGGGCTAGGGTAGGGGAAACATTGATGGAAGGGGTTTGAGATCTATTTAGAGGGGAAAGTTTACAGAATCTGATAAAACCTTGGCCATAGGTGAACAAGAAGAAAGAATTGTCAAGTGGACCCCAAGGTTTCAGGCATGTTAATTGAATAGACATGGGAATTCTGAAGCCCAGGTGGATTTTATATCTTTCACTTTATTTCTAATAGCCAGATTAAGTAGCAGTGAGAAGCCTCATTCACATCCGATGTAACTACATTCACAAAGGAAAGCAAAGCATCTAGTCATTCTTTTATCCCTCCATTTGTTCAACAGTTGGGTCTGGAGTGCCTACAGTGTATCAGGCACGAATCTGCCTTCCCTTTTTGTCCTGTTATCCAAAATGCCTTTTCCTTTATGAAGTTGTACCACGTAGTTCCATTTATCTAAGTTTGACTAAGTTGGAATTCATCATTAAAGTAGGCCTGTATTGAGCCCTCTGAAACAAACCTGTGCTTTGATGGTGCAAATTAATTGTGTTAAAATATTATCGACATGTCAAATGATTATAAAATGAATGGTTGGACGCTTTTAAAAAGTCCGTTTACATACAAATAACTGACACAATGATGCAAATCACTCAACTGAGAATACTTAGAATATCACTCTCTCCGTAGGGGTGTACAAATGCAATTCCGTAAGCTACTTTTCTCGGTGATTCTCATGTGGATGGCCCTGAGGGCAAACTCCAGTTGGAAAAACAAGCATCATTTTGGCCTTTTCCTTTTTCTCTATAAAAATGGGAATGATGCCATCTCTCAAACCTACCTTATAGGATTGTTAAGAGGAAAAATAAGAGTATGTCAAACTGAAGTAGAAATAAGTAGTACCAAGCAACCCCAAAGGGCACTTTCTCTGGAGGAGCTGCCCCAAGTCTGGCCCCTGCCTGCCTCAGTCCCTCGGGCCACGTTAGTCCCACCTTATCCCAGCTGCCTCTGAAACCCCAGGCACAGGTAACATCAATGGCTAAGATTTAGGGAAAAAAGTAGCAGAGGTGATGTGGAATACCTACCTCCCTGAGCGCTCCAAAGAAGACTGTGAGGCAAGTAGTATTCTGCGTCCATCTTATTATACACCTGCCCCACTTGGTGTCCACTTGGCACTTCTCTCCCCTTGTTCACCTATGGCCAACCCAGCCTTTTATTAGGCTCTGTAAACTTCACTACCTTATTTTTTTTTTTTTTTTTTTTTATACGCAGTCTTGGTCTGTCGCCCAGGCTGGAGAGCAGTGGCATGATCTCAGGTCACTGCAACCTCCGCCTCCCAGGTTCAAGTGATTCTCATGTCTCAGCCTCCTGAGTAGCTGGGACTACAGGCAGCCGCCACCATTCCCGGCTGATTTTTCTATTCTTAGTAGAGGCAGGGTTTCACCATGTTGATCAGGCTGGTCTTGAACTCCTGACCTCAAGTGATCTGCCCGCCTTAGCCTCCCAAAGTGCTGGGATTAAGGTGGGAGCCACAATGCCCGGCCAACTAACTTTCCCTTCTAAGTAGATCTCAGACTCTTCCATCAGTGTTTCCCCTACCCTAACCCCAGCTGTATGTCCTCTTGCCTGGAGGATTAGAAGGGTTATGAGCTTTGCTTAAAGTCAAAGACTAGGCTAGTTGCAGAGCAGGTATTCTAACTCAGCTGGCTGACTAAAACCCTGCCATTAGCCCCTGTTATCTCATCTACACCCATAGTCCTTTCTGTCCCGGACATACTATTTAAGAGGGCTTGCTTGTTCTGAAACCAGCTTCCGTTCCTCCTCTCCTCCCTTCCCCCTCACCTCTGTATCCCCTACAACAGCAGCACCCGACTGTTAAGCCAAGAGAGAAAGAAAAAACCAAAAACAGTGTGAGATTGTTGTGATCAGAACATGTGAATTGGTCTCTACCTCTTGCTGAGCAAATCGTTTACTCACAAGTACTCTGTCAAAATAGGGATTTGTTTTCTGTCCAATGAAAACTGACAACAATTTAGCCCTTGCTGCCAACACCAATGCTGCTATTAGGAAGAAGGGTTATGAACTGAAGAGAATGTTAACTAGATAGATTTCGAATGCTGGCTAGAGGAAGGGATATTCTTCCTGATAAATCTTTCCAAATCATCTACTGCTATTATCACTTACTTGTTTTTGTAGCATTTTCACTTTGCTGGAAATTTGTAGCTAATGGAACAGAAAATGTGTGTAAACAAAAGACCCAGACTTTCTATGTGTCGGGGTGGCAGTGGGCGGTGGAGGGTAGAAAAAGCTACATTGGTCCATGGTACTGATCCTCCCATTCACTCTCAGTACCCCGTATGCAAATCCCACTTCATCTCTGGAGTCTGTGCTATATTTTCTTGATTAAATTACTTACTCTCTCTAAACTTCAGTCTTCTGAACTATAAATGAAATAATAATATGAGATCATTGTAAAGGAGATAATAGTAGTCCTAGGGTTGTTCAGAGAATAAAATGAGATGTAACAGGACGTATATGCCTAGCAC